GTGTCAGAAGTGGGATAGGCGTCGTAGGTAGAACAACTAGTATTTAGCCATGGATCAGCACTCGATGGAAGGAAGGGGACTGCTGCCGATGGATGACGTGGTGATAGGTGCCGAAGGAGAATCCACGGAACTTCAGAGCTACAGGGAGGAAACAAGTCGGTTGGCAGATTTGGTATTGCAGCTACAGGCGGAGGTGCGTGAGCTGAGAGTTGCGGGAACTGAGGAACATAGGCGGCAGAACTGGACAGTACAAGAATTTCAGGATACGCCGAACACTTCGATGTTTACACATTTCAGCGGACGAGCGGAACATTCGCCGTTCAATCCATTCACTCCGAAACCTACACCCAAGCCTCGGACTAAATTAAGCAGAACACCTGTTGCACCAGCAAACTCTCCGGTGACAACGAGATCAACAATTGAGGGTACACTCAGCGCCGAGTCCAGCGACTGCACGCCGGCTACGGTTGAGGAGAAAAAGACATGCACACCGTCATCAGTGAGTGTGGATCAACCAGCTGAAGGTGCCAAAGAAGAGTTGGGGGAAGGCAAGGCTGCGCCTGCCGTAAAGGTGCGCCAGGAGGTGAAGACGAAGCTGCCGAACATCACACCGGACCGGTTTAACGGGAAAACCCCATGGCGTGATTTCCTGCAACACTTCGAGGCGTGTAGACTGGCGAACGATTGGTCAGACGGACAGGCGAAGATTTTTCTGGCAGCAAGTTTGCAGGGGATTGCAGTCAAGGTGCTAGGGAGTCAACAGGCTGGAGGGAAAGATGTGAGTTACAGTCAACTCGTGCGCCTTCTAGAGGAGCGTTTTGGGCCAGGCCAGCTGGCGGAGAACCACCTGGTGGAGTTGCGCCACAGGCGGCAAGGTGCAAAAGAGACGCTTCAGGAGCTAGGGCAGGCGATTCGAGAACTGTCGGGACTAGCTTACCCTGAGCTGACAGATGAAGGAAGAGACAGATTGGCGAGGGGACATTTCTCTGACGCCGTAGAGGATCAATCGACCCGCGAGGGGATCTTTCGCGCAAGGCCAAGGACCTTGGAAGAAGCGATTCGAGCAGCAATTGCCACTGAAGGATTTCTAAAGGTTGAAGAGCAGAGGGCGGGACGGATTAAGCCGAAGTACGCGAGAGTGCTTGGTGACGAGTGTGAGCCTTTGTGGCAGAAGTTTCAAGCAGATATCTTCGAGAAGCAGAAGAGCATGGAAGAGGCCATTTCAGAAAGCCGGAAGGAGATGAAGGCGCTGATGGAGCAGATAGCGAGGGGCGGAAATGGGCCTACGAAGCAAGAGCGGCCGGAGAATGGACGTGATACTTACCAACGAGCAAGGCGAGAACCTGCACCAGGCGACATCTGCTTTAGGTGCCGAGAACCAGGACACTTCGCCAGAAACTGTAGGCGCCCATATGGAGACAAGACTAAGAAGTCGGGAAACGAGTCGCAGCTTACCCCGCGGCCCGGGGGCGAGCTGGGGGACAACCACCAGGGCCGAGAGGGGAAGATGGTGGAGAACCCCAAGCACTAGAGCGCGGGGAGGAGAAAAGTTTTGGGGCGAGTCGGATGATTCAAGCCCAGAGTGGATTGTTTGTTCCGGTGACTGTCAGAGGCTATAAAGCGAGTTTGTTGGTGGATACGGGGGCTACAAGTACGTTTCTCTCATCCACTTTGTTTTATAAGATGGCGCCTGAGGATAGACCACCTTTGAGCAATACGGGACCGAAGGTTAAGAGTGCAGACGGGACGCCACTGGAGAGCATTGGTAGAGCGTGGGTCGAATTACGCGTGGGTAAAACTACCTATCCAGTAGTAGCCACATTTGGTAAGCTTGACACCTTGGAAGGGATCCTGGGAATGGACTTCTTACTTCCGACTGGCGGAAACCTGAACTTCCAGGCAATGGAGCTGGTGATTAATGGGGATAGAGTGCGTTGTACGGACACGAGAGGCGAAGCATTCTGTGCCAGGGTTGTTGTAGACCGCACAACCAGAATTCCACCAGGTCACGAGGCGCTGGTGCCGGGACACGTGATGCGAGGTACGCCTATGAAGGGGTTTGGAATCATAGAACCAGTTGACAGGAGTGAGGTGGCGAATAAAGGTGTTGTGGTAGCCCGTACTCTTGTTAAGGTCGATGACGGTGTCCTACCAATCAGGGTTTTTAATCCAGGGAAGCGAACGTGTGTTGTTCGTGAGGGAACCATGGCCAGAAAAGTGACAAGCGTAGATGACGGCGATGTTGAACAAGTCCAGCAGCCATCTTCATCAACACCACGGCGGGTGGAAGTTCCAGAACCCCTTGCTGACCTGTACAGGCGGAGCAAGGAAGAGGTTTCACCCGAGCACCATGACCAAATAGCAAGGTTACTGAGCGACTACAGCGATGTCTTTTCCCAGAATGACAGTGACATCGGGCGTACTGGTTGGGTGAAACACAGTATAAAAACTGGGGATGCAAGACCTATCAAGGAGAGACCCAGACGGTTTCCTCAGAGCGAACAAGAAGAGATAAGTCAGCAAGTGAAAAACCTTCTGAGGGATGGCAGGATTGAGCCGTCCGACAGCCCATGGGCAGCCAACGTAGTGCTAGTGAAGAAAAAGGACGGGTCGAAAAGATTTTGTGTTGACTACCGTCGCCTCAATGCCCTGACGTTGAAGGACGCATATCCGATCCCAAGGATTGATGACTCGTTGGACACCTTGACAGGCTCGAAATGGTTTTCAACTTTGGATCTATCGTCAGGGTACTGGCAGGTGGAGCTGGACTGCGAAGCTCAACAGAAGTCCGCTTTTGTGGTACGGAGTGGTCTGTATTGCTGGCGTGTGATGCCATTCGGTTTATGCAATGCGCCTTCGACATTTGAGCGACTAATGGAGCGTATTCTGGCGGGCCTACAATGGGAAACAGTTCTGGTATACCTAGACGATGTTATCGTCTTCGCACAGACAGTCCAGGAAGAACTTCAGCGCTTGGAAGTCGTCCTCCAGCGCCTACGACAGGCGGGTTTGAAGTTGAAGCCGAAAAAGTGTAACCTATTCAGGAGGAGCGTGCTATATCTGGGGCATGTGGTGTCGGGTGATGGCATCGCGACCGACCCGGAGAAAGTTCAAGCCGTGCGGGAGTGGCCTACGCCGAAGAACGTCACTGAGGTCCAGAGCTTCCTCGGGCTGGCTGGCTATTATAGACGGTTTGTCAGGTCGTTCTCCGATGTCGCACGGCCACTGCACCGCCTAACCGAGAAGGGGCAAAAGTTTGAGTGGTGCGAGGATTGTGAAGTCGCCTTCCAAGAGTTGAAGCAAAGGTTACAGGAGGCGCCCATTTTGGCTTTTCCAGAGCCAAATGCCGAGTATCTATTGGACACAGACGCTAGTGACATTGGGGTAGGAGCAGTACTCTCCCACGTGATTGATGGACAGGAGCGAGTGATTGCGTATGGCAGTAGAGTACTCAGCAAACCGGAACGCAATTACTGCGTTACTAGGAGAGAGTTATTGGCGATTGTTGTGTTCCTGAAGAAGTTTCGTCAGTACCTGTACGGGCGTCGGTTCATCGTTCGCAGTGACCACGGGGCGCTCCGCTGGCTAATGAATTTAAAGGACCCACAGGGCCAGCTTTCTCGGTGGCTACAGGTGATCAGCGAATACGACTTGACCATTGTCCACAGACCGGGGAGGTCTCATCAAAATGCCGACGGATTGAGCCGAAGGCCTTGCCCACAGTGTGGACGAGAGGGGGACGAAATGATACAAGCCACCTCCACAGGCGACAAGAGTGTCGGTGAAAAGACAGAGGCGGAGAGCAATGAATCGCCTACTGTGAGGATTGTTGCACTAGGAACGGCAGATGCACGCAATTCGTGGAGAAAGGCACAGGAGGCCGATTCAACTATGAGTTGGATTATCACAGCGAAGACAGGCGGAAACCCAAGACCAGAGTGGTCTGCAATGACAACCACTGCACCTGCGGTGAGGAAGTACTGGTTACTGTGGGACCAGCTGCAGATAAAGGAGGAACTTCTTTGCAAAAGATGGGAGTCGGATGATGGCCGACAGGTGCAGTACCAGATTCTCGTGCCCCAACTGCATCGGAAGGAGGTTGTAGAGGAACTACACGGCGGGCCTACAGGAGGACATCTAGGCCAGACGAAAACATTGGCGAAGGTTCGTCACAGGTTCCATTGGTATGGGATGGGCGCAGACGTGAGGTCGTAAGTCAGGCAATGTGATGTATGCGCCTCCAAGAAGTCACCTGCCAAGGCGCGGAGAGCTCCACTTCAGCAGTATTCTGTTGGTTCGCCTATGCAGCGAGTAGCATTAGATATACTAGGCCCCCTCCCGGAGACAAACCAAGGAAACAAGTATGTGCTAGTCGTGGGAGACTATTTCAGCAAGTGGGTCGAGGCGTACCCAATCCCCGATGAGAAAGCAGAGACGGTTGCTAGGACATTTGTCTCGGAGTTCGTCTGCAAGTTCGGCGTTCCTGTTGAATTGCATTCGGATCAAGGGCGCAATTTCGAGTCCCGAATCTTTGCCGAGGTTTGTAACATCCTGGGGATCCGAAAGACACGCAACTCCGTATAACCCGAAGTCTGACGGGATGATAGAAAGATTTAACCGGACCTTAATAGGAATGGTTTCCGTGATGATTGACCCCCACAAGAGGCAGCGAGACTGGGACGAGAAGTTAGCTTTCGCCACGTTCGCCTACAGAGCAACACCGCAAGAATCGACCGGAGAGACGCCTAATATGCTTATGTTGGGCAGAGAAGTGTTCCTGCCACTAGACCTCACCATTCGAGTTGGTACTGAGGACAGTGAAGTGGGTAAGACTGAAGACTACGCTCTTCGCCAAAAAGGCAGCGCAAAAAGCCGCAGCGATATCTGTAGCTGAAGGAACAGGGGGCACCTATTTTCAATCCATGGGCAGAAAAATAGCAAGTAAATCCAGAAAATAAGATGTTGATGTGTAACCTATGTGTTGTGTTGGCAGGTAGATGATGGGGAAGGACGGCGTGGACAAACAGGCTCGAAAGGAGGATCCGATCAAGTGCCGGAGGTGTGGCGAGACTTTTCTGCACCAGCGCAGTCTGATCCGACACCTGGCCGTCGAACATGGGCCGAAAATCTACTTCCGATGTCGAAGGTGCGCCCATAAAAATAACAGGAGCGACAACCTTCGGTATCACTACCGGGACTGCCACCCAGACAAAGTAGCAGAGGTAGCAGACATCAAGGGTGAAACCTGTGAGGAGATAGAAAAGTTGGAGCGTCGTTGCGAGACAGGTGGGAACCGGCGCAAGAGGAGCCCAACTCAACCCAAGAGCTCAAAGGAGAAACAACCAAAGAAAGACAAACCACCTAAGAAGGAGACGGACGCCTGCAGGAAGGCGAGTGAGAAACCACAGGGTAAGAAACGAGGGTCGTCACCTGGGAGCAGTGGGAAAGAGGACCGGTGTAGATCAGCAGATGCCAGGTCACAGAGCGGCGGGGAGCCGTCCAAGAAGCGAGGTAGGGAAGAAGCTACCGAGAAGCGATCTACCAAGAAGAAGCCTGCTAGACCAGCCGCCTGTACGGTGTCAAGGGCGCCTGACTCGGGTTCAGAGGAGCAAGTGATTGAAGCACCTGCACAGGTGGAGGAACCGCTACAAGAAGCGGATATACCTGTGACAACTCAGGGAGTTGATCAGAGGGAGCGAGAAGCTCATGACAAGGAGGTCGATGATGCTGCTCCGGAGGTGCAAGGGCCACTACCACTTGCTGCTGAAGACCTACGAGAGATGGCGGAGATTGAGCTGTCACCGACCCCGATGTCTGTATGTGAGCCAGACGACGACTTTGTGGACGAGGTACCCAGGCCAACCAGAGGTGGAAAGTCCATTCGCTTGATGCAGATGAAGATTGGCAGTAACCACGGCGATGGGAGAGAGGAGGTGGACCAGCAAAGTGCTTCAGGGGCGAGGCCGTTGCTGAGGCTTAGTAGTATATTGCCTGGCCAGGCTGTGAAGGTGCGGGAAGTGAGGGAGACGTACCTGTACCGTGAGGAGTCGAAAGTGCTCCGAGGAGAAACTCATCGGGAGTTTGACGTGGTCTATCTGCGACCAGTGCCAACCGAGCCTGCTCCGCCGGCGCCTGAGTCCAGGATCCGCAGGATCGTCCAATCCACTGAGACAGGGGAGGAGCGCCTAGGACCTTCATACAATGAAGAAGGCCTGGAACAAGCCATGGCAGGGAAGGTCACCAGAGTCACGGAAACCTCATCGAGAGTGGTGTACCAGGATGATCAGAAAATCATGAAGGACAAGACCACACGGGTGTACGAAGTCGCATTCACTGCCGGGGTGGCCGTGAACAAGTAAAGAACTCCAGCAGCTTATAACACCTTCTAAGGAACCATTAAGAAGCCCTTATTGGTTTAACTGTAAATATAAGTTATTGAAGTGTTTGCGCCTGAGAGGTTTCAGCTAAAGTGTTATAAAGTTTTGTAAAGTTTTGTAAAGTTTTGAAAAGTTTCTAAAGTTTTGTAGAGTTTTCAAGTTTTATACCTTTTCGAGTTTAAAAGTGTTGCGGACCAACATTGTGCACCTTATTAGGCACAAACTGTATTGCTTTTATAGTTTTTGTAAGTTTAATCGGTCAAGGGACTGACCGAAACTTAAGGCGCGGCTGTGTGGCGCAATAGCAGTTTGGTGGTAGCTAGGGGCTATCGTAGCTGTAAAGTAGACAACGACCTAGACGTCAGCCAGGGCTGATGCGCGTAATGCGCCGCGGCACCAGTCTATTTGCCGCGTGGGTATAAAAGCGCGAGCGCGTGTTCAGTGCGGGAGTTCCGTTGCAGTACCGTTCCAGTCCCGTACCAGAGTAGTGAGACACGGGTGACCAGTAGTGCGTCGCAGTTGCTGAGCGTGTTTATTCAGTCCCTCGTCCGTGCAGATTAGCGGTAGTAGGCAGCTGTGTCCGTAAGTGAGGCTCTTACTGGGATAAGTTTAGCGGGGGCTTGTTCGGTCAGTTGAAGAGGGGAGGAACTCCGTCCACGGGAATAGGTAGCGAGGCCGTAGTGGTGAGTGGACGTTAACTTAGTGTGGAAGATTTATAACCTGTACAGGGAACTCGCACCTGTTTTAGGAAACTCGCACCTGTTTAGGAAACTCGCACCTATTAAGGAAACCCGCACCTGTTTAGGGGAGGCACCTGGGAAGGTGATCAACACCTGTCAAGGTCTAGAGATGATTTGCAGTCTGTCTGAGTAGATTATAATAAAGGAATGTCAACTTAAAGAGAAGAGTCCCGTGTTTGATTTAGAGGTGCCCCGTTTCCCTTCCCCTGCCCTGTTCCCGTGTGTGCTGGCGCGAGAGCTGCTGGCGTAAGAACCGCCCGCGGATAAAGTTGTTCCCCTGCTGCGCCTGGCGGTAGACTGCCCCAAAACGGGCCTGCTCCCTTGGCCTTCTCAGAATTGACCGCTCGCTGACGTCGGCCGAGGACGACTCGGGGTTGCTGTCGGCGCGACCGCCACAATAGCGTGAGTTTACTCACGGAAACAACTTGTGGTAATTCGCAGCTGGAGTCGCTCCCATAATGATGACATAACTTAGCAATTATATTTGCTTCGAGCTTTACTACTGTGACTTCACCTGTACATAATAAGTCATGTTTTGTAGAATTGTACACTCCGATAGACTTCTCTTTCTACTGCATGTGGAGTTGAACATTTTGGGTTTTGCGAGTGTAGCCTCAGCCGTTCATCACGGACACTCCTCTGTTGGTTGTCTCCAGTTATTCCTACACACCTCTTGTCAGTCGGGTAGACAACTCGATCCTTAGCTTCGTGATTTATCCAGACATGCTGGGTTTATTGCCAGGAAACGTTTTTGCTATCTCGTAATACTGGCATTATAAAAACAACAGAACCGGAGCATAACTGAAAACTAGACAAAGAGGTTATTGCGTGTCATGACGTGTCATGATGCAATACTGAATTTATATGGTTCCATAATTGTTTTACGGAAATTTAACGGTGAAAAAGATTAGGACTACACTCTCTTTATAAAGGAATTGTATTCGGATATAAATGGAAAACAGTACAAGTTTACCTGACATTTAAATTTATCAAAATTAAAACAGAACATTCTTTGAAATAATAGTCAACAGTTAAAGGGAAAATTCACTGTGAATTGGATTTGTTTTCGTCACAACTAGATTTCTTGTCAGTCTCAAGAACTATAGAAACCAGTCAGTAATTTAAAAAAAAAACATTTTGTTCATCACAGTAACAACTTACACTGAGTGTACCGTCAACTGAGCGAGTTCACCAACCGTTCAGGGAACTGTTAAAAAGACCTTGAGTTTCAACACCCGGAAACGAAACCCCAAAATTTGAACCAGGCCTATGTACAAACTCAGCTTCGGCAACTTAACAAATGATGATCGTTGGCCCATGAAGAAACCTTTCTATTTAACATGTTTTTCTATCAATATGTGTATACAGTACTGCACTGCGGTCATGTTGCTGTGGCTATGGGCTGAGTGGTAGAGTGATCATTTAACAAACATGAAGAACTTTCATTAGAGTACCGACCGCAGCATCAGTCACTCAACTTTTGCTCTTTAGACTAAGCAGAGGGATCGTGAGGAGAATCACGTCGCACTCCTGAGACAGCCTAAACTATATCTACAACTATCTGCTCTGCGTCTAGTCCATTTAGCACGGTTACTTGTGGCGGATAACACAATTGTCACATCAAGCTCTGTTATAGATGTGACTGCTTTCGTACAATCCAATATTTTGAAGTGTCACAAACTATTTTCTGAGTGCTAGTGATTCAACCTACACTATCAGGTACGTTTGATATATTGAATTAATAACTTTTCCCAACAGCTTCAAACAGTCGTAAGTCGTTGGTTATTCCACAGTCTAGTAGAATATAAATTATTAACGAGGAAGAACGAAGGGGGAATTACGGGCGTAGACTAAATGTGGAATTCTACACCGTTTTGCACTAAAGAGGGCCAGCGGTAAACAGATGGACTGTACGAACCTGCTTTCAGTCAAAATATATCGATAGGCCCTAAGGGTTACATTTAAGATTTAATCTGTATAGAACATCAACGAAAAGAGGTCACGATTAATTGACAAAAAGGACGACAACATTTCGGTTTAATATCCAGCTTTAAAGACATTCAACATCTCAAGCCTTCGAGAATTTTTTTTTTAGACTGGAATTTCCAAATTCTTCAGAATAATTCTCCTCAATTTTGCCAGTATTGTAAAAATGTTCATGAAAGTCACGTGACATTAAACTTTGTATGCACATGTATAAAATTTTATATTTGATAAAGGTATTCCTTGGTTTGTGTTTTCACAGGCCATTTTTTCTTAAAAAGAAACAAAAGCCCCGTTTGAACAAAATCCAAGTTTTAAAGGTGTTGCTACCCTTGTTAATGGTTTTCCACCATTAATATTGTTGCAGCTTGATATTTTTGGTAAGGCCAATGCAGTAATAGATCCGGGTTGCTGAACAATCGAAGAACCGAGTATGATAGACATGTAAGAGACATGTAAAATGGCTGTTCAGTCGCTAATCTTCTCCCAGATTGACTATGGAAATGCGTTGCTTTACGGTGCCAATGAAGGTGACTTAACTCGTCTGCAAAGGCTACAAAACAGGGCCGCCAGACTAATTTTTCTTGCTGCTCGTGACCATCCGAGCGCACCGTTGTTACGTCGCCTTCATTGGCTACCAATTCGAGCACGCATAAATTTCAAACTTCTTGTCATTGTATACAAATATATCAACTCTCTGGCACCTTCATATCTCCAAGAACTCATCTCTTTCAACACATCTGTCTATGCCACCCGCTCATCATTTGATAAAAAACGTCTCCATAACCCCAAAACTAAGTCGCGTACTGGAGATCGTGCCTTTCAAGCTGCTGCTCCCCGGCTGTGGAATTCCCTACCCCGTAACATCCGGGAAGCCAAAACACTTCAGCTCTTCAAAAATAGACTCAAAACCCATTTATTTGTTTAATCATGCCATATGTTATTTTGCTTGTATAGTTTTTTGTATCCGTATCAATGCATTTTTTGTTTGTATCTTTAATTAATTCGTCAGCTTTTTTAAAGCGCTCCGATCTTTGTGGGGCGCTATAAAAATGCCTATATGTATGTAAGTATGTATGTATGATATTAACTATCCAGTTCATCGATGTTAACCAGAAATCATTGTGAATTCCGAACTAATATTTCTTAAAGACGAGCAACAGCCAACTGCCTTTGGGTATCACACCAAAACATTTTCCATTTTCCTTTCCACGAAAGTGGAAAGAGGTTTTTTTTCAGAACGATACAAACAATGAAATCGACATCCAGTCCTATTTTTGGATTTTGTTTTGTCTCTTCAATCATAAAAGTATTTAATTTTCACCCTTTTGTATAGTTTTCAGGTAAACAAACGAGAACTTTTTTTCTTGAAATTTCTAGGCTCTGAACAAGGGTCCGAAAGATCAGATCTGGACATTCGTTTCATAACCAGAAATTGACTTTGTGCAAAACCAACAGTTAGAACGTTTGTGAAAAAAAATCATTTAGAAATAAGGAGAACCATCCTTTATCTGTAAATCTTTTCATTGTATTGATTCCCTTACTGTACTGTAAACCTTGGTAATTTTTATTTATCTATTTTTTTACAGCCTGTGGCTATTGACTTTTCTCTATGACCCACTGCATTGTACAAAACGGTGCATTGCCATCTCAAACATCCCCATGAACTCAATATTATGGAGTCTTGTAGGAGACACTCCGCCCTCCTGTGGGCAATTGCTCTGTCTTGGAGCGTCATCTGCATAAATGTTTTTATCACATCAGCTGAGTGGCACGGAGACCTGTCAGACTATGAGTTGGCCAGCTTTGACAATTCTGATATCGTGGGTGAAAACGAAAGACGGGCATCAAAGTTCAACCATTTTGCCTTGAGTGACCATGGCGATGTGTATGTTGGGGCTGTCAATTGGTTGTACAGGTTGAACAGTAGTTTGTACGAGATACAGACTGTTTCAACCTGTGATGACAGCAGGCCAGATAGTGTGATGCCCTGCCACCTTACAAATAACTACAACAAGATACTGGTAGTTGACAGTACTCGGCCAAACAGTTTGATAACCTGTGGCGGTGTGTATAATGGTATTTGTCAGTTACGACAGTTGCGGGACATTAATAACGTAATAATGGAGTCAGTTTCGAACGTTGCTGCTGGGTTTGAGGATGTATCTACTGTTTGGATGCTTACTCAAGGGCGAGGTGGAGAAGAAATGTTTTACGTTGCGGTAACAAACAGTCTTGAAAATGTTGACTCTCGAAGAC